GGATACGTAATCAGTATAATTATTTTCCAGATGATTAAGTATTAAATATTAGGGATTTTGTTAATATGTATAGGAAAAGTTGAGTATCAGGAATTGTACTTACATTTTTGAATGGGTGGGGAATCGTCATGTTGAATGCACTGACTTTTTCCAATGTCACTTTGCGTTTCATTAGAAGATTGTCCAATACTTGAACTCCTACGTCTCCCACCTGATTGGACATGAAATAGTTAAGATTTAATGGTTATATAAACAGTCATAAGAATTAAATGTGTGCTAACGTTTCAAGAGTGGGGCTGAGTTCTCCTTGTTAGATGAGCTATCTCCAGAAGCCATTTTTGAACTTCACCTGTGTATGACTGTTTGAATTTCGAAAACATTCACCAAAAAATCTCTTTAATTATTTCTCAATAAAAAATATTGTTTACATTTATTGGTTTCCTAAGATTACGTATTTTTAATTCAAATTACGGTTGTCTATAATTATTTAGTATTTCAAAACAAATCTACCTTCCTTTTATGGGGTTAAAATGAAATCTTCTTTGAATTTAGAAATAAATGTATAAACTGAAAATAGCCATTAAATCGAAATTTTTACTGTCACCCCGATTTTGCTATCTTGTTATAACTGATACTTCATATACAATATGAGATATCTCATACAGACGTACATAGCTAAATAAAATACTTATATTTCATTTTTCAAATATATTGTGAAATATGACTGATCCGGAATAAATTTCCATTTGAATTACTTTACGGAATATTTACCAAACTTAGAAATATACATTAAATATTAATAGCTCTGCAAATCGGTATACATATTTGTTGTTTCACAATCTACTTTTTGTTGTTAGGTTCGTATTTTCAAGAACATGGGATTATAAAGAAAAATATTACAACTTTATTAATAATTTATTGAAACAGAAATACAAATCTTCAAGAACATCATGTAGCAGAAATATTTAATTTAAAACTCTAATGGAATTACTTTCTAGGACGCTTGTTGATCATAGATTTCTTGCATTCTTCTTCACAAATGCCGTGACTATTCAGCTGATTATTTGCATGGTTAATTGGAAAACAACACTAAATTTTGCAGAACTTTAAAATTGTTTTAAACCAAGCCGTATATTAATATATACAATTACTGAGGACATAGTACATGTGATCTAGAATCCCACTCGGTAATTGTTAAATCCGAATAAGCCTGATCAGCGTAAACAACTACCTTGTTGTTTTTAGGCAACCTACAAAAAAAAAAGAAATTCATTTATGAATACAATACTGCAAAAAGATTTGACACGTGTATATATTACAGAAAACATACTTATCATTGAAGTCTTTGACGATCTTAATGTCAGAATCAAACATAATTTCAGTGGAGTTGAAAGAGTTTGATATTGAAATAACACCTAAAAAAAACACAATCAAATTATAAGATACCGCTTAACTTGTTAACAGTTACAGACAACTGTGTGGACTATAAGATATTGAGAACTCACGTTTGAACTCTTGAATACGGACAAAGCGCATAAGACAGACAACGATAGATTCCATACGCAACGGTTGTCCTGCAGAAATAAATCTTAAATGGCAAAAAAGTAGCCCTAAAAACACTGTGGTACTCTTTCAATAAGAAGCAAGTAATAGAAAGAGTTTTCCTTTCAATAAGAAGGCCCTTGTGCTTTTCGAACAATTCTTCATCGGTGGCAGCATGAATCCTTGATCCCTGTTCTAGAGAAATTTTTATCACTATGTAATTCAAAGATAAAATCAAGACGGCATAAAAAATAAATATATGAATGACACACCTCATCATCCAATAAAATCATTTCGATTCTAATACGTGAATGTTTGTTAAATACTTTCCAGATGTAACATATCTTAGCCCTAACTTGCTGAATGGTAGTACGATCTAATTTAGCAAAAGGAACAATGGGAGCTCCATATAGGCGTACTATAGACATTTTGAGAAGAGAATAATATCGTTTCAGCATTTTGGTATGATGCTGCATATATGGAAAACAATTGAGCAGAAGAAACCCTAAACTATTAATATTAATTTGGAGGGATATTTGGTAATTAAATATAGAATGAAATTCTGTACAAGAAATATTCGTATTGTGATTAGAAGAAGTAGCTATAGTTCCGGAATTGCTTTTTAATTCAATGATTCAAATTGAATGAATTGTCATAGATGAGCGGTAAATATGGATATATAATCTTACTGATTAAATTGAATTTAATATCGGAAGATCTTATATATACGATAAATGGTGGTAAAATATTCAAAAAGTGGATATTTGGGCCTGTATGAAGTCTTGGGCCATAGCATATTTTTAAAATACACTTAATTGAGCCGGGTTGGGTATAAAGATCCGCGTGTTTATTCATTTATGATTTTCTCGGTTAAATTATTTTAAAACAGGGAAACTTGCAGAGAAATTACACATCAGCATTTCTGGACCAATGAAATTGCGCAGAGCTAGCGCCCTTGCCATGTCACATTTGACGGAGAATAAACGTTATCATTGATGTTAGCAAGGGCGATTTTTTAAACCAATAAAATTAAAACACCTAGAATTATTTCATTAAACTACATTCTCATTTAATATATAGGATCGAGGTTTCTATTTCTAACATGTCCCATCGATCAAAACAATCTCTTTTGTTTCCTAATAAAAATCTTGGTAACCATATGTACTTTTGCAAGTTCTATTTGTGAAGAAATTAAATTTAGTCTGCATAAGTTAATCTTTGGAAACAAAAAAAAATCAGAAGAATCATGTTAAGAGAAAAATAGGAGTCATCGCTAAAATTAAAAAAAATAACATAAATGAAAATTTCATTTACCTATCTTTGTATAAGGCTTGCTATTATAACCTCACAATAGATTTTACACACAATATTTTGGATAAGTGGCATAGCCTTTTTCGCTATTGTGTAAAAAAAAAAAAAAGAACCAATTTGTGTGTTCTAGTAAAAGGAAAACTAATATACTACTGAAATACAAAGAGATATGCAACATCACTATATAATAAAATAATAATTCTGATAATATTCACAAAATTCAAATTCAACACATAGAAAAATGAACAATAATATACCATTGAAATACAAAAAATTGCCACATCATTTAAATGCAACTGTTTATATATATATATATATCATTTAAATGTAACTGTTTATATTGAAGTAGAGTAATATAATTATACACAAATTAAATTCTATTTAAAATTGAAAAAAAAATTCATCTCATCAACTTTGATGAACCTAGTAATCAACTTCTTCCTTGCTCTTCTTCAATCGTTCTTATTCCCCGAGAGATGCTGAGGAGACGAAACTATACTAAAAAAAAATTCTTTAATACTATTGGAACAAACCAAAAATAGGAGAAAACAATGTACCCAAGATTAAAGTAACATTTTTTTTTTGAAGCAAAGAAATGATATGCATCCTGGATTTCTTCACATCAGAAGGCAGGCATAGAATGGATCTTATATAACAATGGTGGTGGACGTATAATTTGCGGACCAACACAGTCATCTATAGAAGCAGAAGCTGAAGCTCTCAGACTGGCAGTAATTAACCTTCGAAGACTTGGGTACAAAGGAGTTATAATATGTGGTGACTTGCAAGGTCTTTATGTACCTCTTCAACAAACCCAGAGTCTGATCAACTCACATGAAGGCCAACATCTACCATGGGCGACGTTTTTACACTACTCAATGTGATTTTACATTTAGGAAGGTTAATCGTACAGCTAATAGAGATGCTGATGACTTAGCAAAGAGAGCTAGGATATCATTGCAAAATCATGTAATTAAACGGCTGTTGTAACTTGTAAGGCTCTTTTATTTTATGGAATGAACAAATTGGCGACAAAAAAAAGTAACATTAATACGAATATTGAGAAGAATAGATAAAAGGTGAAGGTGAAGACGAAAGTGGAAAGCTAATTTTAGTCAAATACTCAACAAAGTAAACATCTACCTTTATATATACATGCAAAACTAAGGTCGACCTATTTTAGCTGTAATTAATGTCGACTTATACGTATAAAACATTCTGTAAAAAATGCGTTGATATATTAAATGGGCAAACTATTGTTGTCATTAAATTTAGTAATGAATTTCAAATTATATGGTGAATGATTCGTTATGTTTTTTTCTGTTAGCAAGTGGAAGCATATTTTAACTGTTATAGTTTTGTCAACTGAATCATTATGGTGCTAAATTCAATATTCAGTGGTTCTTCGATTTTTTTTTTTAATTTTTAAGAATAAATAATATTTGTGGTTTAATTTATAAAGATATCAAGTAGTTTAATTTATGGTTAAAATCGCATATAATTTATTTCTAAGTATTATTTATGTATTTTTGTTGGCATCACAAAAAGTATTTTTGTCAACTGAATCATATATGGTGCTGAATTCAATATTCAGTGAGTTTTTAGATTTTAGATTTTTATTTTTATTTTTATTTTATATACTTTTGAAGAATAAATTTTTGTTGCCATCACAAAAAATATTAGTCTTAGGATATAAATTATAAAGCAAAAAATTGTGTAAATAAAAGTAAAATATTCATTAATTTTATAAAAATGTCAAGTGGCTGTGACTCAATAGGGAGAGAATCAAATAATCAAAGCCTAAATCAACAACTTAACTAACAAAATAATCAAACCACGTGTCAACACAACACTGGAAACGTAAAGTCAACAGCTTAATTAACCAAAGCATTTTAGAATAAAACCTCATGTCCACACAACACAACATCGTCAAAGTCAAGGCCAAGGTTTGCTTACACTAGTCGTCCATTGTCATCACAATACGTAATAAAAGCTCCAATAATAGTTATTACGAAAATAGCCCTAGTCGTCCTCAACTTGACTTCATTGCGGAGGAAACTTCCCGGCCACCACCGCGCAACCGCCTCTGTCTTTAAATATTTTCCCAATTATTCAAACCCGTGTTTTAACCGTCGAACAATCAAGAATCTCCCCACTTACACGCATTGACATATGTTTATATATAAACCACCATCTTTGGAAGAATTTGTATCGAACAATTAATTTCAGAGCTTCAAGATTTATTAAATTCAAATCAAGAAATGACTCTCGTTGACATCCAGAAATCTCCCTTGTCAAGACTGTACAAGAAATATTTCTCGAGAAAATCACAACCGTCAGGAAAACTTGAAGACGAAGAAGCAAGAAGAAGCAGCACCAGCACCAGCTCGTTGAATGTCGACGAGCTAAGAACCGTGTTTGACTATATAGATGCGAACTCGGACGGGAAAATCTCTTGTACGGAGTTGCAGAGCTGCGTTAGCCTCTTGGGCGGCGCGTTGTCGTTAAGCGAGGCGGAGGAGGTCGTGAAGATCTCGGACGTCGACGGAGACGGGTTAATGGATTTTGCGGAGTTTATGAAGCTGATGGAAGGAGAAGACGGTAGTGACGAGGAGAGGCGGAGGGAGCTGAAGGAGGCGTTTGGGATGTATGTGATGGAGGGGGAAGAGTTTATCACGGCGGCGAGTTTACAGAGGACGCTGAGTCGACTCGGAGAGTCATGTACGGTTGATGCATGTAAGGTCATGATTCGGGGATTTGATCAGAATGGTGATGGAGTTCTCAGCTACGACGAGTTTGTTCTGATGATGCGATGAGATAACTTATTATTTGTCTTGCTTCAAATTTTATTTATTAAACCATTCTTTTGTATCTTGGTTTGGTATCTGATCTTCATAATAAAACGTGGTTTGTAATATAGTTCATTTATATAACTCTTTTCTTTTCTTATACAGATATGAGATTTTGGACCAATCTTGATTAAACCAATTGGTTATAGCCAAAATTTTATAAAAATGGTATGTGTAAGCAGAACTGTCGTACATTATCTATAACAGGAACACATCTGTTTTCCAACTCCAAAATCTTACACTTTATAGGAGAAATGTACAAAAATGAACATCAACAATCTTTGATTGAGAAGCAGGCTTGAGATAAAGAAACAAATACAATACATTTTTGTTTGTAGAGTTTGTTTTCGGAGAACTGATGAAAAATTGTTCTTCTATGATGATTTTAGCTACAAGTCTACAACGATGTGAAGCTTCAGCTCCACCGTTGTTTTCCACGTGTTGTAATCCTTAGGCTCGAGCTCTGCAGTGATTGCGTAGGATCCTTAATCTCTGTCTGGATGGATAGAAAGCCAAATGGATTCAGATCATCTTCCGCATACACCAAAATAGCTTCTTATGGTTTAAAAATTCCGTCCCTTTGATAAGATTCAGGTAGCAAAAGGGGTTAGAGAACATGTACTTCTCAAGATATATATTACTTTATGTTTGAAAGACAATTTGCAAATAATACTTTTGAAATTCTGGAGGATTTTTTTCTTGTTTTTCAAATCTGTATTTTAGTGATCTGCTCTCTAAAATTGTAGGTACAATAACTTCTGCAATTTCAGTTCAAAGAGGGCAAAAGAAAGACGAGATGAGTCTGACCTTCAGCTTAGTTATGATCTAGCCATGGCAGAATATAAATTGATATTGACCCTTAAATCCTCAAGATGACTAAGAGCCCATAGCTCAACTGGTTGATTTGAGTGGCTTTTCGAACGAGACCATATAACATACTCTGGTCCTGGACTTGAGGGAATGTACGGGATTTGGCCCAGAACCTCTTAGTTATTCAAAAAAAAATCCTCAAGAGATTGTCATAAGAGTTCCAACTCAGTACCTTGACGAGGTTGTAGAAAGAATCACATGTATTACAGGAATACATTCTTCCATATGTTGGGATCTAAATGACTGTTTTGAGAGGATATCTTTTAGTAGAACATAATACACAAATCACTTGTATTGATCACCAAAGCGATAGTAATTATGATGTCAATTTGGAAATTGCACACATTGTAATAGAGTCATCAGTTCTCACAAGACAAAACTCTACAACAAAGATGTTTTGTATTGGTGTCTTCACTACAAGAAAAACTAACATTATTAGCTCATGATTAATGCTAAATTAAGGTTTTGATAGTGTTTTCATGAACGCTGTGACCGCCGGAGCTATAATAGGGTACCCACACAAGTAGCGTGTTTGAGAGATGCTATAATATGGACATATAATATAGCGTATTTGTTATGCTGTTTTCAGACTATTGGTAGCTCATGTTTGCGCTGTTTAAATATTAATAGTAGCTATGATATATTGCCATTCATTTATTTAAAACAGCATTTTTGTGAACTTGTTAAATTCTTTTTCGTAGTTCAAATCGCATGCTGTTTTTTTTTTGCAGCTCTTTTTTATTGTTGTCGTCTATATTGTGGTGCCATTTTTTTTCTAGCTTTGTTATGATCTGTTGTATCTTTATTTTTTTGCTATAGAAAATGCAATAACGGTTTTTTTTTTGCAATTCGAAATTTCTATATTTCGGTTCTGTATTCCTGTTCCAGGTTGTGTCATTCCAAGGGAGTTCAATAACAGAAAATACAAACTCCAATATGAAAAATTCATTACATAGTGTTCAATTCAGTAAACTAATCGAGAGTGACATAGTACAGTACACACACGACCAAACAACAGACGATAAATACTAAAACAGTCATAATCCATTGACAACAAATTCAAGCGAAAATGTCAAAGGAATCTTACGTATCTTCAGATGATGATGACTTTATCCTCTGGCCAAGCAATTGATGTTCCCAGCGCGTCTTCCATACACTCAATCTCGGATGAACTTCTCCAAACCTTTGCATCTTTGATTTTAACAACGTCAACCCATACTCTAACTGCATTTGGACCAAGTAGAACAAAATGGACAGTTTGGAGTTGATTGTTCGAAGTCCACCTTCCTTCAGCTACCACACGTTTCTGTCCGGTAACATCCATTAGCATGCACTTCTGGTTTTCTTTGCCAAGTTTCTCTACTATGAATTGCTGCTGCTGGTACAATTTGCATATATTAACATATATGAAACATATTGAGGTGATAGCCAAACATTTATCATCACAAAAGGAAATCATAGTACCCGAGTTTCAGATGGTGGAGACTCCGAAAGAGATTGAGATTTCTTCATAGGGGCTGGTGGTGTTGTTGCAGATTTCTCAAATGGATGTGTAGAATCCGGCGTTGTTTCAAAGACAACCCTATTCACCGGCCACACTACAAATTTATTCAGCGAATCCTCAAGATCTAGTAGTTCTGTTGTCGGCCGCCACAGAAAGGTATTTGGTTCCTTCACAACATCTACAAATACTTTCACAGCATTTGGTCCGAGTGGAAGTCCATTAACTAAAGCCTTCGGTTCACGAGACTGCCATCGTCCTTCGGCCACAACTTCTTCGTCATTACTTGCCCAATTAAGTAACTTGCAGAGGTTGCGAGAACTCGAGCTGGGACTCTGGTTTACATAACTTAAAAAATGAGATGCAAGTACAAACAAAACCAAATGAAGGAATTTCATGTGGATTCGATGCTTACCAGTGGTGGAAGATCTTCTAACTCAGAACTGTCTCCGTAAACAACAGCAAAATTTTGAGGCCAAGCAATCATTTCTCCAGCTGCTTCCTCAATAGTTAACATATTTCGTGCAGGTCTCCACAGAAAAGCCTCTGGTTTTGTTACTGTTTCCACAAGAACTTTGTATGAATTAGGACCTAGTGGTATATTATTGACAAAGTCCTCCGGTTCAGCTGATAGTATACGCCCTTCTGCGACTTTGTCATCCGTACCTGTCCAGTCAAACAACAAGCATTTTGCTTGTAGTCTTTTGTTCACACTCTGTATTCACAAACATATACCATATGTAGTTATAGACGCCGTCGTAATAACTCAAATACAATAGTAAGGGTTTAGTTAACACTTACTCTTGCTGCAGAATTCTCTCCTACTTCAACCTCCGCTTTCTGAAACATAATATATACTATTACCAATTCATATATACAGCAGAACGAGTATGTATGTAGTTGAACTGATTTTTTTGGAGCACTAACCTGAGTCTGCATCATTGACAGTTGCTCCTGTAAGTCCTGCACCTGCTTCATCAATCTGAACTGATTTTTTTGCATGTCCTCCATATACTTATTCTTCATTTGGTAACAAGCAAATTTTGTCTGGCTCATCCCTCTACCCATAGCTCGGAGTCTCCCCGGATTGTCAGGTCCTAAAACCTGTGATAGTATATCTTCTTTTGGATTTGACGTTTGTGAAGAAGGAGCATCGGACTCTACTAACTCGGCGGCCTTTTTCTGGTTGTATTAAAATGTTGTTACGTTAAAAATTTTAGTATACTCATGCAACCACACGGAAAATATATCTATTTACAATAAAGAAGCTTACAATCTTTTCAGCTGCATTTGTATTGACTGCTGTGCTATCCTTCTTTGTTCTTGACTTGACCCATACCTTCACTCTCGTCACTTCCGAAGGCTGTGAGCTTTGTTGTTTCTGTAACACATGAAAGTTCGTTTTTAAAAGAGGACATTGCTGTAAAAAAGATAAAAAAGGACATCGCTGAAAAACAGAAATAAGAATTACCATCTCCTCAGCTAGTCGGACCATTCCCTTCCTGCTACAAGTATGCGGAATCTGCTTTTGTCTTCTTTCTTTGTATTTGTCACTGACAAGCTGTAAACATATATGAGTTAAACGTATATAAAACGAAAAGGTGAGTGCTGTGAGTTACCTTAAACGCATGACTGGTTTTCAACTTCACAAATTTACGCCACTCTGCGGGTGGAATATTTTTCGTTCGCAGCTTCAACCTGTCCGAAATGTTCTTACACTTCCTCCTTATCTGTCCAACTAATCTCGATTTGGATGCCCTCCAAATACAGCCCATCTGCTTAAAAACGGCAACCTTCTGGAACTCTTCATCTAATTCGAACCTTGTCTGTTTTTCAATTACAATAATTACCTTGTATATTGAATCACAAGTCACATATTAATATAACCATTATTGCTATTATTATACATATGAATACCTGTACAGATTTCCAAAGGACGGTCCTCAACTCCTCACCTATCTTCCTCCAATCCTCAATTAAGACAGGCACATGTTCACGAACCAAAGGACCTAAATATGAAGACAGCTTTACCGATCCTGGTCCACACGGTTCTCCCATGTATGTGAAATCAATCCTTATACGGCTATTTGGATCTCTTGCTATGTCCTTCATCTTCGTCGGTCCTCTATGCCTTTTCTGCTGAGGGACAGTAGGAGGGCCTTCCGAGTCAAGCGTATGGAGTGGTGATTCTGGCACAGTAGTGTCTACCTCAGGTACTTTGTGTGCTCCTTCATTCATAGTCTGATCTTCAGTGTTCATGTTTACGTCGGGGCTCTGAATTTCATCGTTGTATGTAGATTGTTCAGTTCGTTCTGAACATCATCTGGCTGTTGTAGATGATCATCCGGTGTGTCACAACCGTCAGTCTGAGTCTGCGTCACCGTGGTTGGTTAGGGATATATGGTACGAATAAACTCAACCTCATTCACTGGTTTCTTCCTTTTTACACCTCTCTTCTTCTGACCCATAATGAATTACCTGAAAACACCATCCAATCCATGTAACTCTGTAATTGACATAATTCAAAAGTAATGAAGACTCAACCAGGCAGACTGATAATCTATATTTTTTCTAAAGAAATAGCATTAGCTAGACATAAATCCCTTCACAATCACTTCTTGCAATTGGAGCATCATTGTCTGTATCTTCTAAGTCCATATCAACATCAGTGGGTAAAGGTCCAACATCTGCATGTCCGTCGTCACATTCCTCTTCTTTATAGCTTCTTGTGGGGCATCTCAGGACAACATACCAGCTCGAAGACTCAAGATCCCTCGAGTAAAAAACCTATTTCGCTAGAGATGCTAGTATGAAAGGATCTCGCGCAAATGATACTTGGCTATGATTCAGGTTTACTAGTGTGAAGCCATCTTCAACCTTAACCCCATTCCCTCTGACAGCCCACTGGCATCTGAAAATTGGTATATAGAAAACATTGTAATCTAACAAAATTATGTCGACAACTCTTCCGTAGTAGGAAACAAGGTCTGCTACTTGAGCAGTATCACGAGCACTTGCTCTGCACATCGCCGTTGCCTCATAGAAAACATCACTATTCTGACTTTGCCTGTCAACAGAGATTGTGTGGAACCGCAGCCCATTGATAACATATCCGGTGTAAAAACGTGCAGTACAGCGCGATCCAAAGGCTAACCATTTGAGAGTTTCGTCATGGGCTTCAGAATCAATACGTATCTAGCAATGAAAATAAACAACGAGTCAGATACAATATACTACAGTTGACTATATTTTAGGGTATATACACAACAACTCGCCAGTTTTTTCAACCAATCAGCAAAATTCTTAGTGTGCATATTCCACATGAAAGTAGCATCACGCCTACACCTTCCATTACTATCCTAAAGAGATTGCAAATGCATGCTTGCAAATTTTTGAATAAATTAGTTTAACTAGTTTTATAGACGGTAATTTAAAAAATGAAAAGGAAAACTGTACTGGCTTACTCAACATATGGTTCGACAATGCAGTATTTTGAAGGACAGCCAAATGGGCTATTTTCTTGTCTAGTGAGAGTAATAGTCTTAGCTGCGGATATTGGCCGACCTTCAAGTATGGTTCTACTTTCGTACTCAACATTACGTTCAGTTTTGTCCTCCACACTGGTGGTTTTCTTCAAAAACAGATTGCAGAACTGCATACATTCCTTCGATAGGTAAGACTCAGCTATGCAGCCCTCTGGTCTTGCAGGATTTCTTACGTAATCCTTCAATATTTTCATGTGCCTGTAAAATAAGAATTGTAGTCAAAACAAATAAGTTAAATAAGATAAACAAGACACTAACAAATTCGAATAACAAACAGGACTACAATACTTGCCTCTCAAATGGATACATCCATCTGAAGTGGACTGGTCCACCCAGTCTGGCTTCTCTTCCTAGATGGAGACACAAATGCACCATTATATCGAAGAAGCTGGGTGGAAAAAACCGCTCAAACATACAAAGAGTCTCCACTATTTCAATCTCCATTACTGCAATCTGCTCTCTATCTATAACTCGTTGACACAGCTTGTTAACGAAAGCACATAAGCGTATAATAGCAACTCAAGGTCCTTTAGGTAGCAGACCTCGTAATGCAACTGGCAGAAGTTGTTGCATCAAGACGTGATAGTCATGAGACTTCATTCCCATGATGTTAGGGTTATCTACAGATACGCACCTCGAAATGTTGGAGCAATACCCATCTGGTCCTTTGAATTCATGTAGCCGACTGCAGAATATTTTCTTTTCTTCTTTGGACAACGACCACGGTGCTGCAGGCAGATAGGTTCTCTTTCCTTGTGGTCTAGGGTGCAAATCCTTCCTGATCCCAAGTACTTGAAGATCTTTACGTGCATTGAGGCCGTCCTTTGATTTTCGACAATGTAGCAGTGTTGAAACTATGCTCGCGGCTACATTTCTCTCCATATGCATCACATCTAAGTTATGTCTTACCGGTATTTCCTATCATTTAGAAAACGTTAACCCTTTGAGCAATTAGAGAACCATATAATATTGAACGCAAAAGTGTAAAAATTGAATTATTACCTCCCAGTACGGAAGATTGAAAAAAATCGACCGTTTCTTCCACCTTGATAGCTCTTCCTCATCTATTACGACTTCTTCCTCATCTTCAGACTCACTGTCGATTTCATCACTATCAGAATTACACTCTTCAACGGGTACTAAAGTTCGTTTCCGTTTCCTACTATCCTCTTTCATTTTCCCAAAGTTGTTTTTGTAATTCCTTAGAAGGGTGTAAATGTTATGACCAGTTAGTATCCGACCATTCCTCCCGTGCTCATTTTTACCATCAAACCATGCCTTCTTCCCACGGTGTTGATGTGTAGGTGACAGCCATTTCCTATGACCCATGTAGACATGCTTTCTACTATTAGACAACCACATACTGTCGGTGTGTTTTCCACACAAAGGACAATCCATCTTACCTTTCACTTTGCACCCTGCGAGATTCCCGTAAGCTGGTAGGTCACTAATGGTCCAAAGAAGCATCGCCTTCAAAGTAAAAGTGGTACCACTTAGTGCATCGTAAGTAAGCACGCCCTTCTCCCAAAGCTGGTTCAGATCATCTATCAGCGGTTCTAAGTATACATCTATACTATTTCCTGGTTGTTGCGGACCAGGAATCAACAAAGAAAGCATTATGTTCTCCTTCGCCATGCATAGATTAGGAGCCATATTATAATTAACCAAAAGAGCAGGCCAACTGCTGTACCTTGTATTCTTCATGTTGAATGGATTAAAGCCATCAGTTGATAGTCCAAGCCTAATGTTCCTTTCCTCAGCGGCAAATGAAGGGAATTTGGCGTCCATATGCTCCCATGTTACTGAATCAACCGGATGACGAAGCTTTCCATCACTGTTCTTATTAGTACTATGCCACCGTAATTCTCTTGCTGTTGCCTCTGACCTAAACATCCTTTTCAGACGCGGAATAATGGGAAAGTATCTCAATACTTTCTGTGGGACACCAACCTTTGGTTCACCAGTGTGCGCATTGGTCTTCCATCGTGATGCTTTGCACTTGGGACAACTGTCTAGCTTCTTGAACTTTTTAGTAAAAAGGCAGCAATCATTAACACAAGCGTGTATCTTCTGGTATCCCATGTTGAATGACTTAAAAAATTTCTTGACATCATACAAGGATGTGTGAAGGACATTGTCTTCGGGCAACATCTTGGGTAGTGTCTCAAGCAGGTCGTTGAAACTCTTATCCGACCATCCATTTTGAGTCTTAAGCCTGAACAGAGAGACAGTAGCGGATATCTTACTGTGGTTTTCGCATGTAGGATACAAAGGGGTTTCAGCATCAGCTAGCCTTGCCAGAAACTCATCCTCTTTGTTGTCTAATCCCTCAGCAACATCAACTAATTCAGATCTTTTAGCTAACTCTTCGTCTAAGTACTCTGCAGCCTGAAATAACCCTAAAATCTCTTCGTTCCACTCTCTACCCTTTATAGTATCATCTTCTGAATTTGCTGTACCTTCACCGTGATGATACCAGTCACTTCTACGCTTGTAAGCCTCTTCCATTCTTTTTGTCACCAGATGATCGATTACATCACCAGTTGAGTGTCGGTCTACATTCCGACAGTCAACACAAGGACACACTATCATATCAACACCTCATAATGCAGAAGCAACTGCATTTACGAAATTAGTTGCACCTATCTCGTATGCTGGATCAGCTCTGAAAGTCCATTTCCATTAAAAAGAAATCAAAATTAATAATGTAAACTACAAACCCCATACTCTATAAGTGATTAGCTATATTTGAACTTTATACCTGCAAAGGTAAACCCACGCCTTGTCCAGCATTATCTGGTCTAATCTTTATGAAATCGTTAGCAGAACTAGTCAATCACAAGCGTTGTTGAAACATCAACAACACCCTGAAACATATGTATATTACGCAAACGAAAACAGCACTAATCTAACCAGTGCTCCTTATGCAAGCAGACAATAAACACAAATGGACCCAAAGTTATAAAGTAGCTCAGGAAGAAAAAAAGTTCTACATGCAAAGGAAATCTAAACCCAGATATTCAATTACAACCCTCTAAATCAGTTATAATCACCTGTGAGACCGATTTCTTGACAAAGTCGGGCAGGAGTATGTTGTATCTTTCGTCTCCACCCTCTCGACACCTCTTCAGTTTTGACTCCTAACCCTCGTGTCATAATAATGAAAAAATCTAGCATATTTGATAGTGAAATCAAGCAGAAAGACAAACTTAATTTTAGGTTTCTAAGATTCAGAATCAGTGTTACTTTTTAATCCAGGATTCGACCAAAGATATGGATGCAAACGGTCGAGATTCTTCTGGTTCAGCCGATGAAGAGCAGATCGTAGAGACCGGAGTAATTCGTGGAGGTATAGATCGAGTTAGTCGCTTTGTGACCGAGCCGTGAACTCGAATCGGACAAAGAGAAATCACTGTTGAAAACCCTAGACGATGTGTTCTTTTTAATTTTTGTTTTATGTTTTTATTAATGTTTATTTTAGTTTACAACACTCTTTTTTTGGCTAAGTGTTGGTGGGTTTAGATGTTTTATGCGAGCCAAAGTGTTAATTCAGCTTCCCGCTTATATTTTTTTAATGTAACATTATTTTTCTGCTATTACAGCTTTGTCCGCTTCCGTTTACCGATTTTCATAACAGTTATGATAATTACGCTATCCAACAGTGCTATCAATAAGCCATTTTCTTGTAGTGCTTTATCACAAACCACATGCTCCTGAAATAATAAAAAAATGTTGATGTTTTGCTGTTCCAAGACAGATGTTATCATGTGATATTTTATAAAATTCTCATCTGCGCTGTATATGGAGTAATCGGTTCTTACATATTTTTGTAAAATTTGAATTGAATAAAAAACTTATGTAGACCAAACACTAACATAAATGGTTTGGTTTAACTATTAGTAAAAAAATCATGATTATGTAATTTGTATAATCTCAAGTGATAAAACCTTTCAAATAATTTTTTATTAACATCAAATATAAAACAAATACACATTTATGTGCCCAGTCTAGCGAGGAGGTGGCTGGTCTTTTGTCTATAGGTGGTTGATGCTGGTTTTCGAGTGTCTATGTGCAAGAATTGGTAGTCCTCTTTGGCTTATCCCTAGTCGGCATACAAAGTTTTTTCCTTGAGTCTATGTTTCAACTCAAGTGCTTTGTCTCCAATCATTATCGTGTAGAATGTGTGCTTTGTTCTATTTTTAAACTAGCGTTTGTTTCTGCATCGGCTATTTCTGGTTGTGTTTGGTTTAAAACTTTCTTCGAAGGCTTTTTCGAGGCACACGTTGTCTATGGTTTTTAGTTTCTAGAATCTTGAGCTTTTAGTTCATTTGTGATTTCTGCGCTTATGTACTCTTACATCTATGTTTGCTTCTCGATGGTAGGTGAAAACACTGGATTTTTACCATTTTTATATATCACTTTTAATGTCTTATGCAGATGTTTTAACTCTGTTTTTAATGTTTTATAAGTGATTTTTATGTTTTGGAGTGCATTTGAGAGCAAAAGTATATTTTGGATAAATTCAAGCTGCCAGAAGTTTGACAACCAATGATGAACTTCTCACCGTCTGATAATCCCCAAATTTGGAGATATTATAGAGGAGAAAACTAGCTTTCCAATGCAATTGTAATGGAAGCAATCCAACAATTAGATTTCCAGATATCATCAATGTACTGAAAGCGAATCAACACAGTCCGGAAGGTGAAGTAGCTCTCACCCATGGCCAAGGCATCCTGCACCACGGCTCAGCCTTTCTCGCCTGCGGTGGACTCATTTCCGAGTATCAGAAGCCCAACTCAAGGCCCAAGTTATTCCCTGCACTTATTCTACAAACCTTAGATGCCTCGAGAGGAGGTGAGACTATAATACATTATCTTTAGGGTTTTTACAACTAAGTCTTTTTCATGCTTTAGATTAAGCACTTCATTTTTAAGTTTTAGGTTTTACTTCTATGCTTTTGTAGAAGGCTTTCTCGCAAACTCTGTATCCAATAAGAGAAGCTTTTCTTTAACATTTATCTTTTTACTTACCTGCTTTTTTATTTCAAAACTAATGATGAAGTTAAGCTAAGCTATGTCTGAGTAGTTACCTTGTTGGGTAAAAATACAATCAAAAGAGACCTTATGATCGAAAACATCTAGGGTTTTTTAGATTAAAGATTTCTTTTTTAAATGATTCTCTCATTCATCCCGATCCTAATGTTGTATGCTGGCTTGATCACATATCATCTGATCTAAGGTTTAATCAGAGCCACGACAGTGATGTATTAGATTGCCTGATCTGGATCTTATGGATGTAACCGTCGTAGGAGACGAAAGCTACCTACGGAGGGGACGTGAGCCGAGATGAATTCTGTTTAGTTATTGCATGATCTCTCTCGCGGCAAGAGATGAAAGCTACTAGTCGAGTTTAAGTGATTAGATGATTAGGGTGACGACAGTTGGCTAATTTTACATGTGTCTATTCTAGTTCCAGAATAATAGAACATTCTTATCTAAATTTCTTTTATAGATCATGAACTCTAGAAATAAACCCTAATACCCAGCATTTTTTATCTATTGCTTTAAAACCTCTTTCTTTTACCTTTATTGCTCACTTAGTTTAGTAGAATAATGACACACAAAACCTCCTTTATCTGATTAGGTCTAAAATTATTTTTAGCATCAGTTAGAAATCCTCAACAAACTGATTCTTGTGGATTTAATTCCTAAGTATTACTGCGTTTACTGTGTACTTGCAGCTAAACGGATAAAATTTGTAGTTGTCCACTGTACCCACATCATTGGGGCACATATTTATGAGGATATTACTGTATCTGCCGGCTTTTTGGTTGTCTAATTTTTTGGCTAAGGCTAAAGTTTCACCAACTTTGTATTTTGTCGGTAAATTATACTTCCTATGTTTTATGGGATTTTTGCTAAAAATAACCTAAAACTTGACTTTGAATACAAAAGTAGACCCCTGAAAAAAAATTTGACAGAAATAACCTAAAGGGGTAGTGAAAAGACCATTTAATCCTGTATGAGTAAACAAAAAACGGATGTCCTAATTACCGTTTACACCCTGACGAAGTCTACTAAAGAGAGAAAGAAGTCTAATAGTAGACTTCGTTCATCGAAATGAAGTCTAATAGTAGACTTCGTTTGTCGAAATGAAGTATAATAGTAGACTTCGTTTATCGAAATGAAGTCTACTAAGTAATTAAATCTGGAAATTTAATTTTAAAATTTAGAAAAAATTATTTTGGTATCAAAATTATATTCATAAATTCTGTAATTGTAACCCAAATGTGAATAAATTATTTTTTCATATTGATAAATGGAAATTTATGTTTTTAAATTAAGTAGAAGAAAATCTATTATTTAGGTTTTAAAATTTGTAGACTTCTATATTGAAGTCTGCTAAACCGAATAAATTAACCTAACTGAAATTTAAACCGAAATTAAACCGGCCGGGAATAACTTCCCCTAACCAAGAAAAACTGCCCGTAACCGGGTAAATTTACCTAGTCCCCGTAAAATTACTAACCCTAACCGAAAAAACTTACCCGAATCGAACGGAATTACCAGACTATATAAATGAATTTTACAGATCCCGTAAAAAAAAGGTCGAAAGTTCCTGTTTTAAAAAAAAAAGTCGAAGGCGATTTCTGTTTCTCTTCTCCGGCGCTGCCGACTTACAGAACCGCCGCCGATAAACCCGTTCAGGCAAGTTTTCTTCTTCCAACCTCACCCCCATGCTTCCTTACTCCTCCGTATTCATCACCTTTCCGTTTTTGTAACCACCAGTGTCCATATCTGAAATTAAGGTTTTTTTTTTTGGCAGGTCTGCTTTCGCCGCTGGGGGTTAACGTCATTTCCTGCCTCAAAACGGTTAGTAGATGTCCTTCCGAAGATATATACTTAGCTATTCCTTGATTTCTTCTATCTTCCTGTAATTTTGTCTGTCGGGTTTGAGTACATAGGTTTTTTTTTTCAGATCTGGTTGCATTTTCTCGACGCCGGCTTTATCTAATCACGGCTGTAAACACTATTAACTTTGTAGATTCCATTTGGATGATTGGTTTTAGTAGACTTCATATACAGTATTTATCATGTATTGATTGCTTCGGTTGGCTTCAGTAGACTTCATATGCAGTATTTATGATGTTTTGATTGCTTCATGTGGCTTCCGAAGACTTCATATACTGTGTTTTTGATGTTTTGATTGCTTCGGTTGGCTTCAGTAGACTTCTCGACTCGGATTGTACTTAGAATGTGAAAGTAGACTTCCTTTTGCAAAAGTAGACTTCATTTTGCAAAAAGTAGATTTCATTTTGCAAACGTAGACTTCATTTTGTAAAAGTAGACTTCATGTTGCAAAAGTAGACTTCATGTTGCAAAAGTAGACTTCATGTTGCAAAAGTAGACTTCATTTTGTAAAAGTAGACTTCATTTTGTAAAAGCAGACTTCATTTATAAAAGTAGACTTCATGTTATCAAAAAGTAGACTTCAATTTGAAAAAGTAGACTTCATTCGTGTATAGTTTCAAACCGTTAGTTATAACTAGTTTTCTCATTAGAGCTTTGTTACCGTTGATGCAGAAATCTGTGTTAGATAATGGTGGCCTCTGAATTCCCTAGAAGACTGTACACCAAAGGCGGTGAGCCAGCTCCGGATAAAAGCATCGGCTATTATGCTGATGATTATAGGCTGGTACCTGCACTACGGTCAGCTCTACAAGAGGATGAATGGGAAGAGATTTACGAGTCATCGTTGGGTGTTTTCTTAAAGTTCCACGACTTGGATTTTGGTTGGGCTTCTAGGCTGGTGCACCACATGCTGACCTTTCAGATAGTTTGCAAGCAGAGGTACGAGATATGGAGCCTGATTGGTACCACTCCAGTTCGGTTTTCATTGCATGAGTTTGAGGAGATCACCGGACTCAACTGCGGGTTCGTGGATAACTTGGCTCTAGCTGATCTTGAGCTTTCCGATGAGATGCAGGCATTTTGGGAGCTAATGGGGGTCGATGTCGAGTTGGGCCCAAGCACTATCGAAATTATTGAAGCCTGTTCCAATTGCTCATCATTGTCTCGGGATGATAGGCTGCGTTTGGGATATCTTGGGATCTATGCTGGTTTCATAGGGGCAACGAGACCAGGCTTATCCACAAATGTCAACCATGCCAGACTAGTTATAGATCTCGAAGGTTTTAAGGAGTTCCCATGGGGAAGAATTGCTTTTCAGCATCTGATCAAGTCTGTTAAGGAGAAAGATCTCAGCAAAAACATTCATATAGAAGGATTTGAGCAAGCTCTTCAAGTGTGGGTGTACTATGCTCTGTCGGATTTTGCTGCTGAATTTGGCGAACCATTGCCAAATGATCCTACACCTCTTCTGCTGGCTTACAAAGGATCAAGAGGACGAAAGAACGCCAAAGCCAACATGCTAAAACAGCTATTAGTCATTCTCATTTAGAAGTCTTGTTCCGTAGTAGACTTCTATATAGTAATTAATTTACAAAGTAGACTTCAGGAGTAGACTTCATGTGTAGACTTCTATATAAAATCTTGTTAGAAGAAGACTTCAGTTGTAGACTTCAGTGGTAAACTTCATCCGAAGATTATTATATAGTAATTCATTTACTGATTGTGTTTTTCCAGGCTTGCATACAATGTTGCGTGGCTAAGGACTTGGCGGATATGTTTCCAGTTTGGGATGATGAGCAACAGGATCCTGATATTGTCAAGATTGTCAATGCAATCCATGACCCCCAATTCAAGTTTTCAAAAAACCACTGGCCTTTGGAATGTGTTCTGGGTGCACACATCGTCAAGGCAGAAGCAGGAAAGAGGAGCCTTCCCTCAGATGAATCAAGCCGCAAGAGAACCTGCACAGCCTCTGCCTCTGCCGCCTCTTTTATTGGTGATGAAGGGGTCAGAGTTGTCGCTATTATGAAAGCGCACTTAGACCAATGCTTCAAAAGCTTTTCAACCAAGATGCTGAATGGTCTTGGTAGCTGTGAAAAGCAGATCAAACTTCTCACCGACAAGGTTGAATCTGTAGAGCGCGCGGTAGAGGAGTTGACTACAGGGTCGGCAAAGCACACTGATGAAAAGGTTAAGGACAATGTAGAGCCAACCCAGCAGCAGGTCACTGGATCCAAGAAGCATGAAGGGGTTAGTACCAAAAAACCTCCGCCTACACGAAAACATTTCATGCAAACAAGATCACGCAAAGATAGGAACACTTAATACTAATATCATTTGAATTCGAACATGTTTAATAATGCTATGTACCGTGTGAGATTATTTACTTATGTTTTAAAAAATTGTGTTTCCAATTTCCAGATTATGATGAAACATGTTACTGAATTATAACAATGGTGGTGTTATTTGTATATTCATGCCTGTTTGTGACAATAAATTGCAGAGTAATTCAGAGAAAGAAGATGCTCCGATGAAAGATAATGTCAACGTTGGTGCGAGTGAGATTGTTAATGCCCCCGGGGATGCAAAAGGAAAGAAGGCTGCCTTGAAGGAAGAAGAGGCCCTGAGCCTAGCTTTTATGAAGTTGACCCGAAGACGTGTGATGTTGACTTCGACGCAGTTGCACTAGCTAAAAATGCCAAAGCAAGAGCAGCGACTCAGATAGTTGCCCGAGCAACGAGTGCCAGAAACCGACAGCTGACTGCGACACAGAAGAGTCCTTTCTTAGGAAATAGCACCGCAAAGGCGATCATTCTAACGTCGGCATCTCACTCCGGCCGTGTCCGTGGATATGATCCTTTCGATCAAACCAGTGTTAAGGCAAAGCATACTACTCTAATGAACTTTGTGAAAGCAAACCCGTAAGTAGACTTCTATACTTATGTAAGTAGATTTCATCATATTATTATTTTCCTGTCTGACTTTTTCACTTATACAGTGCCTATCCAAGACGTCCAAAAAAATCTTCGATCGACTGGTATTACATTCTCCGGACACCGACGAAATGGCTAGCTGATATGGTTAGTGTTTTACTATTTCATAGTAGACTTCATAGATAGACTTCATACGTAGACATAATATGTAGACTTCTGTAGTAGACTTCGTATGCAGACTTCACTCATGTCTTATTTTCATCAATGTGCAGCACATGGAAGCTTATATTAACTTACTCAGGCTGCGATTATCCAAGCATCCGGAGTGGTTTGTATCCGACTGGAATTGCTTCCTCAACTCCATGTTTGCTACGGTTTGGAGGCGTGACTACAATGACTTCAAAAACTCTGAGCCGAATAAAGATGGTTCTGGCAAACTTCTACCACCTGGAGCGTATTCGTACTACACAGGCGAATTACCTATCTACTGCCAGACTAAAAAGACGTGGGCCTATGAAGTCGACCATTTGTACTCAATGTTGCACATCACGGGGGACCATTGGGTAGCTATCGAAGTTTCATTTGTGACAAGGCATATCACGATATGGGATAGTCATGCGGGAACCAAACATGCATCTGACGACCAAATTGACGAAGCTGTGGAACCTCTGGCTGTTATGATACTCTACCTTCTTCAGACATGTGCACCCAAGACAAGTGGAGATTCCCCTACACGCCTTTCACACATTCGCGAGTACCAGGTATGGAGATACCTCAAAACTACCAGAGTGGTGATTGCGGAGTCTACTGCCTGAAGTACATCAAGTGTCATGCTTTGGATTTGCCATTTCCTCCACAACTTTGTGATAAAAAAATGCGACAAATCAGGGAAAAATGGCTGCAGAGATCTTTGACGAAATAGGTGCTAGGGGCCATGATAAGCTAGATGCAATCGGGCTGGATCTCTATGATAGAAAAATTTAGGGTATCCGTATTTAAAACTAACTTTGATTTTTATGGCAACTTTTGGGCTACTTACATAAATGACCTTCAATGTGATTGCAGGTCATTTTAGCAATTGGTAGATGATAGGTGTGGAAGTTTTTTGGCCACCTATTGTATAATTAAAATGCCAAATATGTTGTAATTTCGTTTAGGATATTGTATTTATACTGAAGTCTACGACTGAAGCCTACGAATGAAGTCTACTAAGTTGTAATTGTATTTGTACTGAAGACTACTAAGTAATTAACATGTTTGTATTTATAACTTTCTACGTAACACTGAATCCTGTGAAATATTATTGAATATGGACTACTGATAGTGTCTACAGAAAAAGTTAAGTAGAACTCATAAATATGTTGCTTACAATAAATATGAGTCTACAAACAAAGTCTACTACATAAGTCTACTAATGTCAATTAAACATGTAAGTAAACACAAAACATAAAAAATGGAGTCAACTAATTTCAACGCGGCCATTCATTTGCAAATCCAGGAATTGTTTTCCAGAATATGGCACATTCCAACTTCCAGAAGCAAGGACTGCAAAGTTTGTCACCATATGAGTCGACAAGGTTTTCATCATTCATCCAGTGCTGGTTTGGCAGATTCATACAAGCACAACTCTTTGATTGTGCCTTAGCAAAAACATGGAAGACTGGTACGGGAAACTCGTCCGGCTTCTTATAAGTACACGGAGACATGTTGATGTGCTGCATAGTCTTCCTCATCTTCGTTGCCTCTGCTGGAAGTAGACTACGAATGTGGTTGAATACATCATAGCTGCCATCCATGGTTAAAGAGAACATAACCATGGAGTAAGTAGCCATGAGGCATCCTCCATTTGATGACACCTTTATTAAATCAAACCCTGCTTGGATGCTGTCTTCATAGAAGATTAGAGAAACGCCTCGTAGGAATTGCGATGTAGGATTTCTACACTCCAAACAGCGCCTAAAGAATGCGTCAACCCTCCCATGTTGATCCCAGACTCATAGAATGTTCAAGGTTATTAGATCAACGATTCTTAAAAAACCCTCTTCATTAGAAATCTCATTTAGATTTTTGGAAAAAAACCCTTGCTTTATAGAGCGCACCGTAGGAATGAGATGTGATTTTTAAGAGGATATCCCACAGAATATCGGAAGGGAGAGAGTTGAAGTTTATCAGGGTGGACATCTTCTAGGGTCTGGAATGAAACAATAATTCGTGGTCACCGAGAATTTATAAGCAGAAATCACAGACACAAACAGATACAACGGTTATATGCACCGTTAAAGTCGTTAAAGCAGTTTATTAAATGAACTCGTTTCAAATCTAACTGATAGACAAGACTTTTTAGGGTCTCAGGGCTATCAATCCCCTTGTCAATGTAGCACAAAGAGGTTTATCAATCCAGATGTGGTGTTAGACACTAAGCTATATGATCAAGTTCTTAATTCAAGCAAACAAGAGTGGGTCTTGATTAATCTAGAGACAACTATAAACATAAACAGGATTAAAGACTAATGACAATGACAAATGGTGTGAATAAGATATGATGGAGGTATGAGATTCTAGACATGATAGATGGTTAGGGTGCTTTGGTGTTAAACTAGGAATGCTAATGACAATGATGAGACATGATTCAAGTGATTAAGAACTCTAATCTATGTTAATCCTCTCATGAAGGTATTAACCCCTATACTAATCCATTTTCAAACCAAATTCCCATTTGTGAAATATGAATCAATATGCATTAATAAACAGTTCTCAATGATCATTCAAGCATTTAACAAATCATTCCCATGATGAAAAATTACTTAAACCTCTAACACAACTCTTTCAGGAATTTCATCAAACACTTTTGGTGCATGAAATTCCCAGAATCTAGATCTCAAGTGATTATCAAGGATCTAGCATAGAGAATAGTTGTTTAGAGAAATGAACTAATGAATCTAGCCCTAAACACTCCTAATCTAACACTTTAGCACCCTAACCTACACATCTAGAACCTCATTAAGGTAACTACTCACTAATCATGATCAACACACTAGATCCTTTGCAAGATGTGTTGTTAATCATGATTAGAAGTTGATTTTGATGAATAGAAATGATGAACAAGATGGAAAGAAACTGCAAATCGATTTAAACTCTCTAAAACAAAATGTATTAAGTGGTTTTTTCACAAAAGGGGGAAAAAAGACTAAAAGTAGATTAAGTCCTCCCTACAAATTAGGTCTAAAAACCTTATAAAGGAGGCTTGGGCGAACCGGGTCAACCCGGAACAAACCGGGTACTGACCCGGCCTTGATGGGCAAAGAAGGGTTTGCCACGGTCTGGTGCATCCTTGGTGTGACCGTGGCATTCCTGACCGTGTCAAAGTCTTTACTTGTGTTCTTGGTTCCTTTTGATGCCACGGTCTGATCAAGCTTCATCTGGGACTCGTGGCAAGTTAACCGTGTCAAACGCCGAAGATGTGTAAAGGTTGCCACGGTCAAGCCCCCAGACCGTGGCATTCAGACCGTGCCAAAACCCGCATGTATGTGAAGTCCTTCCCAGCCAAGTATATGCTTGCCACGGCCAAGTCTCAGGCCATGGCATTGAGATCGTGTCAAAAGTCGAAACTGTGTAGAAGTTATCTCCAGCCACTTGTTCATTTGCCACGGTCAAGTCCCAGACCGTGGCATTAAGCTCGTGCTAATCGCCGAAGGTTGCAAGATGTTGCCACGGCCAAGCCTCACACCGTGGCATTTAGGCCGTGTCAATCGCCGAACGGTTGCTAAGTTCCTCTCAGCCAAGTGTGTGTTTGCCACGGTCAAGCCTCACACCGTGGCATTTATATCGTGTCATTGGCCGAGGGTGCACAAAAGTTGCCACGGCCAAGTGTGGACCGTGGCATTGAAATCGCGGCATGTTTAACTTAGTCATCCTGGGCTGTCTGGACAATCTCGCATTCCGGAGAGTGTAACTTCCTGGAGACCTGTCCGAATTGAGTAATTACGGTTGCAGAAGACAGAGGACTCATTTATCTCCAACTTTGATGAAGGAAGTTTCAGTGCTTGGGAAGTGTAAGGTTTCCTGGAGGGCACATCTTTGAAGCGCATTTACACGACCAGAGGGAGGCGCCTAGACATGTGTCCATTCCGGAGACCGTATCTTTCTGCTCAAAGCTCCGAATTGACTGATCTCGGATGTTCTAGAAAGAAGACTCAAATCTCTCTGATTCTCATGAAGGCCCCGGAAACTGAATCGGCCTGGAAGTGCACCGTCCTTCGCATCCTTCAAGACTGATCTGCTCGGTCCGGAATACCTGCGAGACAGGGGTTCCTTCCGACTAGCTTATCTCTCTGCTCACGCGTCCGAATTCCACGATTCCACTTGCTATGAGACCGTGCTCCAATGCTCTCCAACTTCTATGAAGGACCGGCCGTCTGAATCGGACCGGAAGGCTCCCCGGACAGGCGATTTCTGAGACTCGTTCAAACCCGGAGATTTTGGCCGATACACTTCGTTCGCGGTACATGGAAATGGCCGGTAAAGCTTCCCGCGGTACATGAAAATGGCCGGTGAAACCTTCCTGGCCAGCGAGAATGGCCGAAAATCTCCCAAGACCTAATTTTTCCACTTTTTCACTCTTTGCTCACCATTCCACCTCCTGGATTCATCTTTTCAGCTCCATATTCACCTGATAGACACTCAAAACATGCAAAGACTCATTGGGACCTAATGCATCTCCTAAGTTCTAAAACAAACCCTAAGGACCTAAAATGCATGAAATAAAACATGATTTGGAATGATTTATGCAACCTAAATGATGCAAATTATGAACATATCAACTCCCCTACACTTGTCCTTTGCTTGTCCTCAAGCAAAAAGAGCAAATGAGAGAAAGAGGTTGTATGCAATGGGAGTTCACATTTTCTTTTTGAGAGAAGTGATCACAATGAGAATTCAAGTTCATGCTCAATTATGCAATGCAAAGTCATACTCAGATATATGTCAACTCAGCAAGGAATCTCCACAAGTTCTTCTCTCTCTCAACTCTTCCACATTTATTAAGCTTTTATCAGGTGAACCTCATGATGCAATGTTTAAACAAGCTGGCTTGGCTAGGGAGAGGCTATGAGATTAAAATGATCTCATCAGTGTTCAAGTGGGTTAAATGCAGCAAAGGGATCTCTCTATGAATGATCAAACTTTGGCAGAATGCTAAAGGTAAAAAGCAACCTATGCATACAAGGGCAAAGACTCATCACACCCCACCCTCTACTCAAAGCTTCCTCACTTGCTCAAAAATCCTCACTTTTCACTCTCATTTTCCTCTCACTAGGGGATTTACTTTTCACATTTCCTCTCAAGTCTTGGAACTCAAACTTTACACAGCTCTTTTTCTTTTACAACTTCTAGCCTCTTCTTTCTTTCTTAACAAAACATTTGAGCCTTTTGGCTTCTTTTCTTCCCTTTTTTTTTTTTTACTTAGAGGCTAGACTCTTTCTTTTCAACAAACCAGAGCTCACTTTCTCAAAACACCAAGACTGATTTCTTTTTTTTTTTCTTTCATTCCCCTAGCTATTTTCCCTCTCTCTTTCCCACTCATCTCACCTTTTTCCACTCACCAAAAGGTCTTTTCCCCCACACTTATTCCTCGCCAAAACTCTCAGTTCCTTGATGTTGGAACACAGCACTCAATGAGACCTGCCCTTGTCGCTCTAAACCTAACACTTTCTGCTAAGTTTGATCCAAGGTGGCCTTTCAATTCACACACAAACATTGGCTTGAAAGAAGGATGGGTTCAAGGTATGGGAACTGATCCATGATGTGGATTCAGCTA